TCAAAAGGTATAAACTGATATGTCTTAGAGAAGGTAGCCAGAGAGATCCTTGGAGGCAAAGAAAATGAAACTTCATTTCACATCTTTGAGGATGTTGCTGGGAGAGGCTATTACTTGGAGAGCGACATCATGCTTGGGAAAGTGGAGGGACAGTGACGGAAAGGAAGAGCCTCAACCAGGAGGGTTGACAATCACTGCAACAATGATCTTGCGTGTATCAGAGATTGTGAGGATGGCACAGGATAAGACAGGGCTCAGATCCTTTGTCATACGGTTGTTATTAGTTGCACTCATCTCGATAATACCTATTTCTTCTGTGGGAGAACACCACGTAATCTCTTCTCATGCTATCTTCTGCCTCTAAAAATCTGCTGAATCATCAGACGAGTCAATTGGGACTTGATGATACACAATAATAAAAACTTATTTCTTAGGTAATTATTTTGTTTTCAAATCAAATATTGCTAAATTCTGTAGAAATAAATGGTTCTGAAGGATTACAATAATTAAACCTCAAAAAGTATTACTATATACAAGATAAATAAAATGGTTATCTTATTGTCATATAGGTAATCTCCCTGTCCAATTTAAAAATTATAGGTATCATCTATTTATCTTACTTTTACCTTTACAGACTAGTCTAAAACCATTGTGATATTAATCTGCTATAAATTATGATGAGCAAAAGGAAAAAGTTGCAAGTCTTTCTAAGAAACAGACCTGTAATTAGTATTCCACTGATATATATCATTATATATATATATACACAAGTTATGTTGCTTTCAATAAAATTATTTGAAAGGGAAAAAAAAAAACAAAAACACTGTTCACCACGGATAACCATTATGGCATCTGACACACCAGGAGCACAGTATTCAGCATCACAGCAACTCCGTTACCTCAGTACAGCAAACTGACAGACCAGTATTGTACCACTTAGAAGAATGTTCATTCCAAACATAATTAACTCAAGCCCACCTGCCTTTTAAATACAAGGCCCGTTCACAAGGTCCTGTTTGACTCTAAACAAGGTTTCCAGCCCATAGTTCACTGTTAGCTAAATCAGGCAAATCCAATCAGTTCACACACAATTGTGTACAGAACCTTAAAACCAACAGCCCAAGATTTTTAAGCATTTGATATTACAGAGAAAATCAGGAGGAAAAGTTCTAAGGCAAATACAGGAACTGTGCTCATCAGTTTATTTATTTCATTAAGGCCTCCAAAATCACCACACAATCCAAACACCCACAACGCCTGGGTTACCACTAGGCCCCTAACGTAGAAGAGACAGGTGTGCACAAGCCCTCAAAGGCCCCGGTCCAGGCCCTGCTCACACTCACCACCTCAGCTGCAGAGCAGGGCCAAGCAGAGCCACAAACCCAAGACCCGACCTGGGCAGAACAAGGCCAAGCCTGCTCCAATGAGCTTGCCTGTTGACTGGGAGTGCCGGGAAGACTGCAATGCCACTCTCTCCTCTTATTCCCACAGAAGTATGCTGCCTCCCTACGGGACTTTTCAGGAAGAAGCAGCAGACTCTAGTTGCTTGTGTAAGGCTTTCTTTCCATGGTCCTATGGGGCATTCTGGAGGAAGCAAGGCACGAGACTGTGGAACAGAGGCTGCAGTGAGAACACAGAGCACTATCAGTTCTCGCCACAGTAAGCCAGTCCATCTCCAGCACACCTGTGCTGAGCATCTGCGGCACGTCTGGTGCTCTGGGGCTCCTCCTCAGCCCGAGAAACCAGCAAACCGAGAAACCTGCAGCAGAGGAGCTTCAGATGTGGGGCATGCAGTGACAACACACACACTGCACTCCTCAAATGGTTGTCTTGGAGCATAATGTAATAGCAAAAAACAATAAGGAATCTGTGAAACACTGAATAACATGGATTAACCTAGAAGACACTGAGTCACAAAAGGACAAATGTCACAAAGAGCCATGTTAGTCACAAATGGACAAACTCTGTCTAAGACCACTATTTCAAAAGGCTAGCGAAAGCTCTCCATCTGGAAAGAATCTTTACTCTATGGTTGGCAGGGAAGGGAAGAGAAGGGGAGAGAGGAGTGAAAATCCATAAACACACAGCAGACACACATGGAGCAGGGAAGGGCAGTCTACACTGAGAGATGGTGTCTCTCAAGGGAACAAACAGACAGAGAGGGACCCAAGACACACATTCAGAGCAGATTTAAAGGCAGGCAGGCAGGCAGGGAGGGAGGACAAGCAGACCAAACAGGTGACAGGATGACACCATGACCACACAAGGCTGGCAGATGCTGTTCCTACATCCTTATTAGTCTATGCTGTAAAGAGTCAACAGAGGGCAATGCTTTGTAAGCTGCTTTATCACAAGCAAACACCCCGAAGGAACGAGCTGCTGGCTCCCAGGCCCCGAGACCACAGTTTCAGTGGATGTCAAGCTGAACTGCCACAACACCGTCCACAAAAAAAAGCCTCCACAAGCTACTGTGGTGAGTAGAATCTGGGGTTTTTTAAGCTTAGGAGCAGCTATCCAAGGCAGAACACTTAACTGTGTTCATATGAAACCTATGCCTAGACCAAGAAGCTGTTGTTGAAACAGAGCAAGGGAACGCCGCACGGCTCAAGTTTTTAAAAGGTAGGTATCAAGACTGTATCCACTTTCCACACCTACACAATCCATATGCTGAGAAAACCACTCAAAAAGTGGACTCATGGGGCCAGGATCAGAGGAAAACTCGACAATAACCTGCATTATGCAAATGATACAACCTGGCTTCAAGAAAGTGACGAGGACTTGAAGCACCTGCTGAAGAAGATCAAAGAACACAGCCTTCAATATGGATTATACCTCCATGTCAAGAAAACAAAAATTATCAGCAATGCACCAACAGGCAACATGTTTTGTTGTTGTTGATTGCCATCAAGTCAAGCACGACTCATAGCGACCCTACGAACAAAAGACCTGAAGCCTTTCTGTAACTACCGTCATTTACCAAAGTTCAGTTTCCAGAGGCATATTGTTTAGAAAGTGGATGCCACTCCTGCTTCCAAACCTGTCTTAAAATGGGAGCTCCACCAAACACTGTCCTCTATGGGTAACTGTTACGGCATTTAACACCCCAATGGCACAAGGTTCAGCATCACACCAACCCCAGGATATCTCTTTACAGCATACTAACAGAAGAGTGCTGTACTACTTAGAAGAATGTTCTCCAAAACATAGTAATAACCAACTTTTAAATGCAAAAGCTCTCCCTGAGGTCTCACTGACTTTAAACAAGAGGGTTAAACACCAACCAATATAGTATGTTGTTATGTGCCATTGAGTTGCTGCGATGTATAGCAGCTCTGAACCCTTCCCTGTCCTGAGCCAGTCTCACTAATTCCGATACACGAATTTCCACTGCCCCAGATACCGCATCAATCGATCTCATCCGGGGTCGTTCTCTCTTGCGCTGTCCCTCCACCCTTCTGAGCATGATGTCCTTCTCTAAGGACCAATCTCTCCTAGCCATGTGTCCAAAATATGTGAGGCAGAGCTTCAATATCCTAGCCTCAAAGGAGAGACTTTGTTTCACCCTCTTCTCCCAGACAGACCTATTTGTTTTCTTGGCAGTCCATGGTATGTTCAAGACTCTTCTCCAGCACCACAACTCAAAGGCATATTCTTCTGTCATCCTTAGTCACTGCCCAGCTCTCTGATGCGTAGCAAGTAACTGTGAAGACCATGGCCTGAATTAGGCGCACTTTAGTATCTAGACTGATATCGTTGCATTTCAGTACTCTGGAAAGGTCCCTTACAGCAGACTTACCTAATGCAATTCATCTTTTGATTTCCTGAGTGCTGACTATAGAGCCAAGCAAGCTAAAATTGTTAACCTCAATCTCTTCTCCTTCTACCATTGTACTACTGTGCTACCAATCGGCCCAGTGGTGAGAATTTTTGTTTTCTTGATGTTGAGCTTCAATCCATATTGAAGACTACAGTCCTTGAACTTCTGCAGCAAGCACTTCAGGCCTTCTTTAGTTTCAACAAGCAAAGTTGTGTCATCTGCATAACGTAGGTTGTTAATGAGTCTCCCTCCAATCCTGATGCCACATTCCTCCTCATAAAGCCCTGCTTTCTAAATTATCTGTTCTGCATATATATTGAAAAGGTATGCAGACAAGATGTATCCCTCTGATGCACTCCTTTCCTGATTTTGAATCATGCAGTGTTGCCCTGCTCTGTTCTGAAGACTGCTTTCTGGTCCAAGTATAGGTTTCACATAAGCACAACAAGTGTTCTGGGATTCCCATTCTCCTCAAGGTTAGCCACAATTGGTTGGGATCCACATAGTCAATGAAACCCAGACAAGACATTCCGCTGGTACTCTGCTTTCTGCCAAGACCCGTCTGACACTGGCAATAATGTCTCTAGTGTCATTACATCTTCTAAACCCAGCTTCTACTTCTAGTAGTTCTCTGTCAATGTACTGTTCCAGTGGTATCTAGATAATTTTAAGCAGGATTTTGCTAATGTGATATTGTTAACTTTTTTTGGAATGGGAATAAATATGGATTTCTTCCAGTCAGTCAGCCAATCCTCCAGATTTCTTGGCACAACTTGATGAGCAGATCCAGGACAGCAACTGTTTGCTCAAATATGTCAACTGGTATTTCATCAATTCCTGGGGCGTTATTTTTTACCAAGTCCTTCAGAGCAGCCTAAACTTCCTCCTTCATCACTATTGCCTCTTGATCATATGTTGTTTCTTAAACTTCTGTGTCAGCAACTTCTCTCTGGTACAATGACTCTGTATAAGTACATCTTCTTTTAATGCTTCCTGAATCATTCTATATTCTGCCCATAGCATCCTTAAGCATTGCAACTCGCTACTTGCTTTAGTTCTTTCAGCTTAAGAAATATCGAGTTCGGCCTTTTTGATTTTCGGACTCCAGCTCCTTGCACATGTCAATGTAACACTTTGCCTTGTCTGCCCGAGTTGCTCTTTGAAACCTTCTATTCAGCTCCTTAACTTCTTGGTTTCTTTCCTTTGCATTGGCTTCTCAGCACTCTAGTGCAATATTCAGTCTATTCTGACACACACTTTGGTCTTCTTCCTTCTTTGTAATGACCTCTGCATTCTTCATGAACTATTTTTTAGTTTTAAAAATATTTTATTGGTTTTGATATAATTTTTATATTCTATTTCATTCATATACACTGTACGAACAATAGTCTTCATATCTTCTCACAGCTCACCTCGATCATTAGTGTTCAAAGCCTCAAAGCTTTTCCGCAGTTGGTTTTGAAATTCAAGGGGGATAGATTCCAGGTCAAATTTTTATTCCTGTGGATATGATTTAACCTTCTTTAGCTTTAATTTGAACTTGTATATGAGTAGTTGGTGGTCTGTTCCACAATCATCACCTGGCCTAGCTTACACTGCTGAAACTGAACTTCTCCAACAATTCCTTCCACAGAAGAAATCAATCTGATTCCCATGAATATCAACAGGTGAAATTCTTGTGTATAGTCTACGTTTATGTTTCTTATAAAAGGTATTTGCTATGAGTAAATCACTGATTGTGCAGAATTGTATCATTCTATCACCAGCCTTATATTCATCTTATATATCACCTTATATATTATATTACTTATATCACTTATATATCACCTTAAGTATTGCAACTTGAAGTGTGAATTTGTTCTTTAGCTTAGGAAATGCTGAGTGAGTTTATCTTTTTTTATTTTCCAATTGCAGCGCTTTGCACATTTCATTATAATACACTGCTTTGTCTTCCTGTACTGCCCTTTGAAATCTCCTGTTCAGCTCCTTAATGTCTTGATTTCTTCCCTTTGCTTTAGCTTCTAAGTGCTCTAGTGCAACATTCAGAGTCTCTTGACATCTACCTCAGCCTTTTGTCTCTGTAATGACCTTCTGCATTCTTCGTGATGACAGTCTTGATATCCTCTCACACCTCATCTGGTCTTCGTATGTAAGTGTTCAAGGCATCACATATGTTCTGCAGATAGTTTTTAAATTCAGGTGGGATAGACTCAAGGTAAAATTTTGGTTCTTGTGGGTCTGATTTGACCTTCTTTAGCTTTAGTCTTAACTTGCATATGAGTATTCAATGGTCACAACATAACCTTATTTGCTGAAATTGGGGAGGACCTGAAGTGTTCGCTGAAGAAAGTCAAGGATGATAGTCTCCAATACGCATTGAAGCTCAACATCAAGAAGACAAAGATTCTCACCACTGGGCTAATTGTCAGCACCATGACAGATGGAGAAGAGATTGAGATCGTTAATAATTTTAGCTTGCACAGCTCCGCAAACACTACTCTTGGCACCAGCAGTTAGGAAATCAAAAGATGACTTACACTGAGGAAAGCTGTGGTCAGGGATCTCTCCAGAGTACTGAGAAGCAAAGATGTCAGTCTAGATACTAAGATGTGCTTTATTCAGACTATGATCTCTGCAATTATTTGCTATGTATCAGAGAGCTGGACAGTGACTAAGGATGGCAGAAAAAGAATCAGTGCCTTTGAGATGTGATGTTGCAGAAGACTACTCAACATTCCATTGATTATCAAAAGAACAATTATGTCTTGGGGAAGCTGAAGCCAAGTTTCTCCTTGGAAGCTAAGATTTTGATTCTCCATCTCACCTATTTTGCACACATGGCCCAGTCCTTGGAGAAGGACATCATGCTTGGAAGGGTAGAGACAGCACAGGAGAGGAAGACCCCAGATGAGATGGATTGAAAGAGTAACTCGGCTAATGAGGTGGGTGTGTCAGAGTCAGTGAGACTGACTCAGGTAGGGAAGGCTTCAGAGATGTTATAGGTTCGCTATGAGCTTGCAGGTGTCTCAATGGCACATAACAACATCCATGAGCAGAGATCATTTTTCCATTCATTTAGGGTTTTGTTTCTTTAAGAAGTGTTCTGTAATTGTCTTCGTAATGGTCTTTTGTATCTCTAGTTGGGTTTTTTCCGAAGGATCACAACTGTGGCTGGCTAACATAAATGGCTGATACTAAGTTTCTCCAACAATTTCTTCAACGTATTCCACAAACGATTCCTATGCAGGCATCAAGTGAGACCCATGTGTAAAGTAGCTTCTATCTTTTAAGAAAGGTATCTGCAGTGAACAAATCATTGTAAATACAAATTCAATCATTCTATTTTCAGCTTGATTTCTATCAACAACCCTGTATTTTCCAACTACTGTTCCTTCTTCACTGTTTCTTCCTTTTGCATTCCAGTCACCAATTACCATTAACACACCCTGACTGCATGTTTGGTCAATTTCAGACTGCGAGATTTGGTAAATTCTCAATTTCTTTCTCTTTGGCTCTAGATGTAGGAGCATATACTTGAAAAATAGCCACGTTAACGGGTCTTCCTTGTACGCATAAGCATATTATCTTAACACTTACAACACTGTATTGTGAACAGAGCACTGTATAGTTTGGAACTGGGAAGGCAGTGCACCAGGGTTGTATTCTCTCTATATCTACTTAATCTATATGCTGAGCAAATCATCTGTGGAGCTGTACTCTATGAGGTAGAATGTGGCATCAGGATTGGAAGGAGACTTATCAATAACCTGTGTTATACAGATGCCACAACCTTGCTTGCTGAAAATGAGGAGGACTTGAAGCACTTGTTGCAGAAGATCAAGGAAACCTTCAGTATGGACTGCATCTCAATGTCAGGAAAACAATGATTCTTGTCACAGGACTGATAGGTAGCATCATGACAGATGGAGAGAAGATTAAAATTGTCAACAGTTTCATCTTGCTTGGATCCACAATTAACACCCTTGATACTAGCAGTCAGGAAATAAGGAGACACATTGCACTGGGAAAATCTGCAGTAGGGACCTCTCCACATTACTGCATATTGATAGCATACTAGTTATGCATCTGAGTGCTGGACAAGGAATATAAGGATGACAGAAAAAGAACTGATGCCTTTGAGCTGTGGTGTTAGAGAAGAGCAATGAACATCCCATGGTCAGCCCAGAGAACGAACAGGTATGTCCTGACGAGGGTGCAGCCAGAATGCTCTTTGGAGCCAGAATGATAAGACTTCGCCTCACATACTCTGGGCATGCTGCTAGCAGGGACTATTCCTTGGAGAGGAGCATGATGCTGGAAAGGCTGGAGGGTCTGTAAAGAGGAGGAAGACCCTCAACCAGGTGGAATGACACAGTGACTGCTGGCAATGGGCTCTTGTGTATCAGGACGCGTGTGAATGGAGGAGAATAGAACAGGGTTCAGATATTTTTGTTCATAGAGTCATTGTGAGTGGTGCACAATCCAACACCACCTAACAACAACTGTAAATGGTATTGCTTTCTTATCTTCCTTCTCAGTGGTTTTTTTGGTTGCTGTTATTGCAGAGGAATCCCACTTTTTCTTTTATATATTCATCTTATATCCTGCCACTCACTAAATTTGTCTACTAGCTCTAACAGTAATTTCTGATGAGTCTTGAGGTTTTCTGTGTATACTATCATATCATCTACATATAGCAACAGTTTAACCACCTATCTGCCAATCTGGATGCTGCTTTCTTCCTTCTCTTGCCATATGCCCTTGGAAGTACTTCCAAAACAATATTCAATAAGAGTGTTGACAGGGGGGATCCTTCTCTGGTGCCTGTTCATAAGGAGAATGCTTTTAGTCTTTATTGAGAACAATATTGGTTCTTGGTTTTGCATAGATGCTGTTCACAGTATTGAGCAAATTCCCTTCTATTCCTATTTTGCAGAATGTTTTAATCAGGAAGGGGTGTTAGATTTTGTCAAAGGTCTTTTCCACATCATTTGTGGTTCTTATTATTTGCTTTGTTAATGTGATGAACTATGCTGACTGATTGATGTTGTTGATGAAGATTATCTGGACGGTCAACAGACACATAAAGAAATGTTCAAAAGTACTGGCAATAACTGAGATGCAAATCAAAACCACAGCGCGATAACCATCTCACCCCAGCAGCAGAGGCAAAATTTAACAGGATAGCAAGTAATAAATATTAGAGAGGTTGTAGAGAGACAGGAACTCTCATAAACCATTAGTGGGACTGTAAAATGGTACAATCACTCTATAAGGAGTTTGGTATTTCCTCAAAAAGCTGAATACAGAAATTCCTTAATACCACTGCTAGGAATATGCACCAAGAAAATTAGAACTGAGACACAAATGGAGGTTTGTACATCAATGTTCATAGCAGGATTATTTACCATTGCAAGAATGGGGAAACGGCCCAAATGTCCAACCACAATTGAATAGGTTAAGAAATTGTGATAGTCACACAGTGAAATACTATACAGTACTCGGGAGTAACAATTTTGAAAATTACTACATAACTTGGCAGAGACTGGAGAGCATTATTGCTGAGTGAACCAACTCAATCGTGTAAGGACAAATACCGTGTAAGATCATTATTGTAAAAATAGGGTAACTACTGAAATGTGTATGGGGATCCAAGGGGGTAAGAGGTGGGAGTAGAAGGATAAGGAAGGACAGGGGGAAAATCACAAGATCCCACAGTATGGTGGGTGAAAAGAAAGGGAAAAGGAAATGGAAAAGATCCAGTGGGGATCTGGAAAGAGGGGTAAAGGTGGGCTCTCAAACACTCATAGTCCCCCCCACACATCCACACTCCTATATACATACACACACATCCCATACATATACTCATGCACCTAATCTACATACGCTATATACACACAGAGCTAAGCTTACTGTAGTGAAAGTCAGAATGCCCAGGATAAGGGCAGTAGATAGTAAACACCGTTGAAACCAGGAAAAAGGGTAGTAATTTTTAAAAATCCGAGATACAAATATGAGCAACACTGGGTACTGGGAGATAACAGAAAAGTGTCTAAGAATGCTCAGGTCTCTGTATTCAAATGAGTAGTGAACAAATATTTAAGAGCAAACATCTTTGAATATTCAAGGATTTAAAGTCTATCACTAATAATCCCTCCTTGAGATAATTACTTGATATACTCTAAAATGTTGTTGTTGATTGCCTTTGAGTCAAGCACGACTCATAGCGACCGTATGAACAAAAGGCCTGAAGCCCCTCTACAATTATCGTCATTTATCAAAGTTTGTAGAGTGTCTGGAGGCACGTTGTTTAGGAAGTGGATAGGAATAAAAAAAAAAGCACCTGCTGGGGGAGTGAGGAGTGGGTAGCGAAGGACCTGGTAAGGCTTATGATTAACTAAACAACTGCCACTGTCATCATAAAAACAAGACATGGGAGGTTGTCTACAGGCAGCTAAGTGCTCCTGTGAAAACACGCGAGCTTTACCCTCGTCCTGGGCAGGGTCATCTGTACAGGTGCACACAGGGCACACTCAGCCACCAGACAACAGCCACAGGAACGTCAGAAAAGACGCGACGGCACAAGGCTCGTGCTGAGCAGCACAGTGCCACTGGAAGCCGTGTCCTCGTCCTCTGCCTGTGTCCACGTCCTCTGCCTGTGTCC